TTCCGGATAAGTAGATAGTGGTGATTATTTATTTATTATCTATTTTCGGCGTGAGCAGGAAAACAAAAAAAAAAAATCCATACGTCATTTGTGAATTTTTCGGATGTCCAATGATGATTACCGGGAAAAAAGCCAATCAAAAAAGATTAAATGAACGATAATTATTAACAAGCAAAAAAATTTGTAACAAATTAATTAATTTTTGTTTGGAAAAATTCATTAAAAACAAAAAAATTTACCGATTATCGATTAATTAGCAGGGGGAAAAAAAATTCTGCTCATTATTCTGCATAATAATTTCCGTTATGTCATTGGATCATTAGAATTTAATTTGGACAACAAAAAAACCGTCTGTTCGGCTCATTCGATAATAATGAGGATGATAATGATAATTGTCACTTTCCACTTGATCGATCATAAAGTCCATGATGATGATGATGGTGATGACATTTATTGATGGCTCCATGTACATTATTATATAATAATTGCTGCCGATAATCAAGGTCAATTATTTAACTTTTATGTTTTCAATGTTATTTTACTTCATTTAAAATAATTAAATCAATTTTTTTAAATTTTATAATAATGGTGGTGATGGTGGTGGGGAGGAAATCAAAATGTCAACATTGTAATCATTTGCTTGTAATGAACGTATGGATCGATACTATCGATACTACATTGCTCACTATTTCCGATCACTGCTCTTTCATTCATTTCTTTTGTTTGATTATTGTTTGCGGTCTTTGAATTGAATTGATTGATTGATTGATTGATAATTGATTGAATAATAATCAAGTGTCAGATGATGATTGTGTTAATAATAGATTTGCATTTGGTGTTTACACAAATGATTGATTGATTGATTGATTGATGATTATATGACCAAAATAATTTTCGAATGAATGATTTTTTGTTTGTTTGTTTCTTCAATATCATCTTGATAATTATAATTACAATATTTGGTGGAAAATAATTAATGTGGATTTTTTTTTTTAATTTTGTTGTTGAAATTTTGACCTTCATTAATGGCATCATTTTCCCGGTGTATCCGTCTATGGTTTTGGTAACCTTGAAAAAATATTAATCATAGAAACAATCGATTCTATCGATAGTAACAAAAAAACATTCGAATTTCTTAAAAAAAATCCAATAATTTCCAAAATGATTGAACGCAAAAACTTCATTAAAAACTACTTATATTATGGTTTGATACCTTTGATTCTCCATTTTTTTTTCAACATAATCAATCAATCAATCAATCAATCAATCGATCGATTGTAGCATTATTTTTTTCCGCAATTTTCTCCTATCAACGATATCATCTTCATTTGATTCCATCCCCCTTCAAAGAAAAATAAAGTAGAAAATCAACAACAACAACAACAAAGTCATCAGTCTTTTTTTTCAGAAAATTTCTCAAAAATTCAAAATCGATTCTGGAAATAGGAATTTTTCAACGAAAAAAAATATCAAAAATGAAGTACACACAGGTTAAGAATCGATATCTATTTATTTTGTAACATTAGCAACAAACGAAAAAAAAAGAAAACTTTTTTCTCCTTGATTCTTCTTCATCGTTTCGTTAGTTTGGTTGTTATCGTTAATAACAGGCCCCAAATAATAATAGATCAAAAAATTCATCCAGAAAATAATAACTATTAACTATGAGAGAAAAAAAATGTCATCATTCTTTCATCGATGCATGGGTTTCTCTTTGATTTTCAATGTATCCCACCAAATACCAAATACCAAATGACAACAACTTCGGTGCATTCAAGTGTATGGAAATCGATTTCTTCTTTGAATAATATTGCTTCGGTAGATTCTTTGTTTTTCTTCCTTAAAAAAAAATTGTGTGGATTCTTCATTTGTTGTTGTTTATAGACAAAAATTCTATACATTTGGGGATAAGAAACAGAAAAGAAAAAAGCAGAATGTAAAAACATCATCAAACACAACACAAGTTTTCGAGAAATTTTCCGGGAAAAAATAATTTCCAAGAAAATTTTTTTCCATCGATAAATTTCCAAGAAAATCCAATCAGGTATCCTTATTTTTTTTACGATCGAAAAAAAAGTTTTTTTTTTTTAATTAAAATTTCTGCTTTCGTTCATCATCATCATGACCACAATCACTAACAACCATTAACAAGTGAAAATAACAAACAAACACCCGGTTAATAGTGATGGATTGATCCTTGATTTTCAGATGTTTTTAATACTATTTGACTAACAACAAAATATTTGTTGTTGGAAAAAAAAGAAAAAAGAAAAACCAAATTAGCTTATTGATTTTTTTTCTGTTCATATGTAATATTATGGAATCAGCAAGATCCAGTAACCAAACAAAAAAAAAAGTCAAGTTTTTTTCTTCTTTATTTTAATCAATGAAAAAAAAATAAAACAAGTGAAAATCAAGGAGAGAGAGAGAAAATGAAGATAATTTAATTAATAAGATTCAGTAGTCTGATCATGTTTTATGCATGTTTTTATATGAAATATATTCTTTCAAAATAGCAAACCAACCAACGAATGAATGAAGAAAAGAAGAAAAAAACTTTCATTTCAAAACATAAATAAGAAATGAGAGACATGAATCAACAAGAAGAAAAATACAGAATGTATCCAGAATTTTTTTTCTCCCGGTCTTTTTTTTTCTTCAATCCAATTATTATTCTTTGAATCTTGAAACAATAATTGAACAAATGTTTTGTTTTTGGTTTTTAATTTCTTCTGACATTCGGTATTCGGCATTCAAACACGTGTAATTAAAAATCCCAATCAGCAATCAACCTTTTTGTTTGGTTTTTTTCGTTTGTTTTTCGGTTTTTTTTTCGGTTTATCGATCATCACTAATGATGTCAACTAGGATGATGAAATGGGAGAAATAACTGATCTAGAATTTCAAATCAGATTATGGGCCAACAGAGATTGCCTCTACCAGAATTATCATTAATTATTATTCAATGTCAAACGAAAAACAAGAACAAAAAACTGAAGAATATTGATGTGAAAGTTATTTATTTTTTGTTTTTCTTCGAAATAATGCAACAGAATTTTGCAAGATTTTCATTCCAGGATCGAAATTCCAAATGGAACATTTGGGAGGAAGATTATAGTGAAGGGAGCTATAGCGAAAAAAAAAGATTGTTGATTAAACAACAACAACAGAAAAACATTTTTAATGGAAAAAAAAAATTTCATTTCAAATTCCAATCATGTAAATTTGGTTCTAAATTTAGCTTCGACAAGAAGAAGAAGAACCATACACAGTAGCAGCAGCTAGTTCCATAGTGACATTGCATTCATAGACAAACAACGAGAAATTCCAGAATTTATTTTATCTTTGAATTTTCATCAAAGAATAAGGAGTGAAGGAAAACAAAAAATTCTATGCATTCTCATTATCATTACGATTGAGAGAAAAGAGATGAAAGAATGAAAAAAAACAACTTGAATTTATGATTTCCAAATCGCAGAGAGATATTCAAATTTTTTGGATTTTGAAAAAAAAAAAAAAAAAAAAAAAAAAACAAAAAAATCAATCGAAGGGAACATTGGACATCCAAATGATGATGGTGATAATGATCGATTCAAAAAAATAGTAACTGTTGTTGTTTTTTTTTCTCAATTAACACTAATTATATCACCAATGTTTCATCATTATCAAATGTTTTTCCACTTTTTCTTCTTCTTCATCAAAAATCCTTGAATTATGCAATTTTTAATAACAAGGAACAGGAAAAATAATAATGGTAATATTGAAAACAAAAAACGATCAAAGATTACAAGAAATCCTGTTGTATTTTAAAAAAATTTTACATTGCTCCAGACTGTATATGTTTGGAAATTTCCTACTGAATGAAATGGATGAATGAAAATGTTTGACGATGATGATTAAACAAACGGAAAACAAACTAACAAATTTGATAATGAAAATTATCAAAAAAATTTTAATTGGCCAATTTTTTTTCTGGCTGGAAATAGAAATTTAAATAATTTAAATTTGCTCGTTTTTTAAAAAAAATGAAATTTGCTGAAACAAATTCAAATTTTCTTTCTTATTTTTCGGTTGTTTAGTATATCACGAATTTTCCTCGATAAATCAACAACAAAAATGACAAATCATTTAGCAAAAAAAAAAACTAACAACAACAATAATCGACGATGAGGAAAAGAGAGAATAACGACGAATACGGACTACAAAAGATCATTCAGTGTATTGAACCAAACGAATCAAATCAAATCGAGAAAAACAAAAAAAAACAGATACCAATCAATCAACAACAAAAATCTGAACCGAAAAATAATTAACATACGGTGCAACTACTAAAATACGTGAAAAAGTAAAAAGTAAATTGTCAGCAAAAAAAAAACAAAAACGTTTAAGGAAAAAATTGACCGAGAAACAGATAGAGACACGGGCCAAAATTTTTGAATATTAATTTCGAATTGTTTTTTTTTGTTTGTTTCAGAAAATGATAATTATCATCACGATACACCTATCGATTTTCTGTTGTTGTTGTTGTTGTTTGGCCAAGAAATACGAATGGAGAGAGAGAATGTTTTTTTGGGTAAATAGATGTCCTAAAAATCAATAAAAAAATTTTTGTCCTTAAAACAAAAATTTTTCTCTCGCTTTTGTTCGTGTGAATGTGATGTATATTTACCTGGAACGATAGCAAGAGAGAGAGAGAGAGAGAGAGAGAGAGAGAGATATGAATATATTGCTGCTGTCAAAATTATCAACAAAAAAAAAATTTCATTTTTAACAAGATAGATAAAAGTTTCTTGGTAATTGCTTAATGTTTATTATTGATCAACAGTGTTTCTCCCCAGCAACAAACATCCATCGGTTCAATCAAATCAAATCAAATCGAATCAATCAATCGAAAGTCAAAATTTTTCTCCATTTCTTACTCCAAAAATCGCATCGATTCCTAATTAATCAATTTTCTTCCAAGTGTTTTTTCGTTTTGTAAATCAATCATCAAAAATCAAAAATCAATAATAATGTTAAATAATATAAGTTATTATTGGTATGATTATTGGAAAGAGAATGGCCATCCATATACAATGAATAATTATTGGATTTGTATGAATGGTCCAACACGTATAATAATGATTATTATTGGTTATCTTTATTTTTGTTTATCATTAGGCCCATCATTAATGATGAATCGTAAACCATTTGAATTACGTCGTATAATGCTTTGTTATAATATTATAACCGTTGTGTTGAATTTATATTTTTTCCTTCAATCATTATATTATTTAAAATTTGGTATACGTTTATTTGATTTTAAATTTCCTGATCATAATAATATAACTGTAAATGATATTGAACAAATAACATTAATACATTTTTATTTGTGGACAAAATTATTCGATTTATTTGATACAATATTTTTTGTTTTACGTAAAAAATATAATCAAATTAGTGGTAAGTGTTACTATTCCCTTTTTTTGTAAAATGATTTTTTCACACATCTTTTTGGTCGATAATAAAAATCGACTGTAATCAAACATCATTAGATCAATGATTAACCAAACTGGAACTATAGTTTTTTTTGTAAAAGTCAATCATCATTATCATTCATTAATGTTGTCGCTGTTGTAGTTGGCGTTTTTCTTTCTTTATCAAATCCTAAATTGAATTCCAATTGTGTAACAGGCAATATTGTAAATGAAAACAAATAGACAAATAATGAACCAGAGTACAATAGAATAGAAAAATTCCTGATTCTCATTTATGTGTATGTCTATACATGTTCATCATTATTCAATTTGGAAATGAAATGAAATGATCCACAAATTCATTTAGCGATTATAATGATGATGGTTACCAGCAGAGAAACAAACAAACAAAAAAAAGTTAATAATTAACAATGTTAGATTTTTAATTAGATGATGATGATTATGATCTTTATTTGTTTCTAAAAATGGAATACAAAATTGTTAAATTGATACAATCCATGTTATAATTGAAATCTAATATTCTTATCATTCGATCGTTTGATGTTTGATGTTTGATGATCCAAATATTAATTATATTTTCTTCTTCTCGTTTGACCTTCTTTTGTTTGTTTTTGTTAGTTCTTGTTGCACATATCAAATTACATTCCATCAAAATTCTTTCTTCTTTTTTTTTCTTGGATAGAAGTTAATGAAAGTAAGAAGAAGAAAATTCTTTCAAGTATAAACATTATTATTAATATTTGAATGTAAAATTGATTGATTGAAAATCTGTTTTCAATCAATCAATCAACATATATGAGTTTGACATACCTGTTTAAGAAAATAGCAACGACGAAAAAAAAACGCTGAAAAAAAATCTGTGATTTTCAATGACAAAAATTAAGAAACCATTAAAAACAAATAAAGAATATGCAAAATATGTTTGCTCTGTTTGTTTGTTTGCCTATGCAATATTTAAATAACAAAAAAGGTTACATAATAATTAAAATGATAATAATATGCATGAAAAACAAACAACAACTAACTCATTCAAAGCATTCATTTTCAATGTTGATGAATGGAAATGAAGATAAACCATATGAAGAAGTTGAAGAATAATGAATTCACAGCAGCGATAACAGATATGGAATGCAAAAAAAAGAATTCATTGAATTTCACGCACGAAACAATTGGAGAATTTTTTTTAACATTGTTATTATTGTTGAGTTTTTGTTGTTATGGTTGTTGTCCTTTTTTTGGTTTGATTCTGGTTTTTCATTATTATAATAATTATTGTTTTACATTAGATTTCATAAGGACATTCTTTTTTTGGGGGTATTCCATCTCTATATCGAATGAATTCCAGTTGTTCATTTGTTGTTGTTCATGAAACAAAAACCAGAATTTGTCGTCGTTGTTTTTTTTGTTTCTCATTTGATTTTCATTATTATTATAATTATTGAGCATCGTGAATGAATGAATGAATCAAGGTAAATTAATTGAAAACAAAGGGGGTTATATAAACATACAAATCCAAACCTATATATACAAAAACCAGATTCATTAATGAAAATGATATGTTGTTGTTGTTTTTGTTTCTTGTAATCATTTAGGATTTGTATTGAGCATTTTGTTTTGTCAATTTTGATTCGAGAAAATAAATCCCTATGGTTGGTATTTCGAAACCCAAAATGAAAAACAAACAAAACAACAGCAACAAACAAAAAGTTGATAGAATCTACACCATAAAGATGATCATAAATGATGATGATGATGATGAAAACTAAATTACATCTAAATAATTAATATTATGAAATATAATAATATCTGGAGACAAATAAAAAGAATCATTCATTTCATTTCATATATTGGATCATATCCAAAAACAAACAACTAAATAGAAGCGAAATGAATGAATTTATTTATGATCTGATGATGATGATTACTATTTACAAAGAATAATGATAATGATAGATGAAACAAACAAACAGCAAAAACAAAAACCGATGATGATGATGATGATGAGAAGTCAATTTTATTTATATTAATCTAGATAACCTTTTAAAAAGTAAAAAAAATTACTCAATTGTTTTATCATTGAAAATTTTCAATGTTTTGATGATGATCATTTTTTTTTTGTTTAAATCGAATCGAATGAAAACATTCGAATATTCGAATATTAAGGAAATGATGATCGTACATAAATGACGTTATATGGTCATTTATGGAAAGTTTCTTATGGAATTTTTCCATTTTTTAATATTTTTTTTCAAATTTTATCTTAAAATTTCTCATCATCATCAATTTGGAACATAATAATTTGTTCATTTCATTGAAAACAATCATCATCATCATCCAGCTAAGCTAACGACTGAAAGAAAATTTTTTTTTTTCATTTTTCCTCTTGAATGAATTTTCCATCGTTTTTCATTCATTCATTCATTCATTCGGTTTGTTTTGGTTTCCAGTTCTAATTCGATTGATATTGAATAGAAGAAAGTCTAGGGAAAATGAATCATTTCGTTTGATAACTTCCAGATGATAATTTCTGAAACTTGATTTATGTTTGCCCACTGAAAAAAAAAACGAAAAACGAAACGAAACAGTTGAAACGAAAGAATCAATTTCGATTTGCTTTCTTTCTACAGATGTCAATTTCAAAAAATCATTTTCATTTTAATTTAATAAGATTCAATTGAAAAAAATTGAATATGAAAAACGACGACGATGATGATAATGAATCTATCGAACCATAAAGGGAAAAAAAACCAAGAGAATCAGGATTGAAAAGATTCAGAAATCAAGTCAGTCAGTCATTGTGTTTGTGAATGATTGCAACATTATGTTTTTTTTTCTTTTCTTCCGTTGTTGTTGCAAATGCTGTTGTTGTTGGTGATTGAACCATTTGTTGTAGACAGGTTTTTTTTAATAATAATATTCGTCATTTGTAACCAAAATTAAAGTTTTTTTGTTCGGTTAAAAAATTTGAATTTTCAAATTCCATAATGGAATCATCAAAATGAATGAACTAAGCGGCCGTAAGAGAGAGAGAAAAGTTTTTCCTTCTTTCGACATAAACCAAATGACTGAAACTTTTTTCTTTTCTTTTCCATTTTTCCATTTTCAATGTCTATTGAGAACAAACAAAAAAAAAAGTATCAAATTGTGAAACATTTGAATTCAAAAAAAATCATAAAACCGAAATGAAGAAATGAAAAAATTGGAATTGAGCCGAGAAAAAGAAGAAAATCTTTGATAATGATTTTCTGGTGGCAGGAGTGAAATGAGAAAATCCTTTTGACAGCCATCATCAACTGCGAATTGAGAATGAAAACCCCCCCCCCCGAATATTTTGCAAATATGAAACAGAACTTATTGAATTTTGTTTCATTTTTGGAATCAATCAGCGAATATTTCTTATTTCGGCAGATGCTGATTGAATTCTGAATCAGAATTCTATTTCTACCTACCTGCGTAATCGATAACCGAAAAAAATCCGAAAAATAAAGCTATAAATCGATGGAAAAGCGAACAGAGAACCCGGGCAACACAGAAACAACAAATTATTTTCAAAAGTAAAAAGATTGGTTGTTTTTTTTAATTAAATTGAAAACATTGATTGAAAACATTGTTATCTTTTTTTTGGTAGCCTAGGTTCATCAATTCTTAAGGGAAAATTGATGTTTTTCTTTCAATATTTTCGTTTCTTTCATTGTTTTTTCGTTGTTTGTTTCGTTGTTGTTGCAAATGATTGATTTGATTTCGGATTTCAATCTCCTTCTCCCTTAACTGAACAACAACAGCAAAAAAGAACAATTTTCAAATATTGAACCGAACCGAAAATCTTATCGATAAACTCAATTATCAATCAACAAATGAATTGGAAAAAGACAGAAACAAACGTATAAATGATCTATTTGGTTGTCGATCGGTTGGTTGGTAGGTTGGTTGGTAGGTTTCACAATGTGATCCGTATCTGATGATTTATTTTTCTCTCATTCTTTTGTTGATTGGTCGATTTCTAATCAATTTTAATGTTTCACATTGTGTACATATTGTGTACACCCACACACGCACACACATTATTTCATTGAAGAAAAGAAATGAAAATTTTTTTTTTCAAAGAAAATTACTCACAGCAACCCATAAGAATAAGAATAATAAGAAGAATTTTTCGTTTGTCTGAATTAAATTGGCAATTGAATGTTAAGAATTCGAAAAAATAAATTCCATAATCAACAACCGTTTTGTTGATCATTAAAGAATATTCTTTGAAAAATATCATCACCATCATCTTTGTAGTATAANCCCGGGCAACACTGAAAACAACAAATTTTCAAAAGTAAAAAAGATTGGTTGTTTTTTTTAATTAAATTGAAAACATTGATTGAAAACATTGTTATCTTTTTTTTGGTAGCCTAGGTTCATCAATTCTTAAGGGAAAATTGATGTTTTTTCTTTCAATATTTTCTTTCTTTCGTTGTTTCGTTGTTGCAAATGATTGATTTGATTTCGGATTTCAGATCTCCTTCTCTCTCTTAACTGAACAACAACAGCAAAAAAGAACAATTTTCAAATATTGAACCGAACCAAAAAATCTTATCGATAAACTCAATTATCAATCAACAAATGAATTGGAAAAAGTGAACCAAAGACAAAAACAAAACAAAACGTATAAATGATCTATTTTGGTTGTCGATCGGTTGGTTGGTTGGTTGGTTGGTAGGTCTCACAATGTGATCCGTATCTGATGATAAATATATTTATTTATTTTCTCTTATTCTTTTGTTGATTGGTCGATTTCTAATCAATTTTAATGTTTCACATCGTATACATTGTGTACAATCCCACACACGCACACACATTATTTCATTGAAGAAAAGAAATGAAAAATTTTTTTTTCAAAGAAAATTACTCACAGCAACCCATAATAATAAGAATAAGAAGAATTTTTCGTTTGTCTGAATTAAATTGGCAATTGAATGTTAAGAATTCGAAAAAATAAATTCCATAATCAACAACCGTTTTGTTGATCATTAAAGAATATTCTTTGAAAAATATCATCACCATCATCTTTGTAGTATAAAGCACTAAAAATAATGTAATTTAAACTTTTTATTTGTTCAAATTATTACTCCAAAAAAAAAAATTATAAATTTTTCGACAAAAATAACGTGCGTGATGCCTAACACAAGTCGTTTTTGCATAGATCTTTTTTGCCTTTTTTTTCGTTCTTTCTCGGTTTTCACATTGTAATTTGTATCATTTTAAGGTCCATTTATTACATTCGATGTTTTTGTTTTTAGTCAAGTTTTTCAGTTCATTCATTAGATTAGTCAAAAATATGAACTGAGTGAAAAAGCAATTATAACGGAACTAATAGGTGAAAAAAAAACACATGATTATAATCACTTTTTATGGATCACTAATGTGCGTAATTGACAAAATGATAATGATTTTTTTGTTTTGTTTTAACCATGGTTTCCCTTAAATGATTTTAACTTGAAATTTTTGGTTTGGTTTGTCAATTTTCACAACAAGTCATTACCATTTTTTAAAAAATCACTTGGTGGTGGTTTTCCACTGGAGATATAAAATGTATTTAATTATATAATAAGCGTGTGTAGCGAACATATTGAAAATTATAAACATATAATGGATAATTATAATGGTGGCAAAAATATTTTTTTTGACATGAACAAATTGGTAAAATGGTGATATTACAAGAGAAAAGTTTTCTCGAAACAAAAAACAAAAAAACTTGCCGAAAAATTTCTTCAAGGAAATATAAATATTTTGGATATCGATTCTTTTCAATAGAATTTTGTCTGAATTTCGATGAATTCAATTTGTTTTGTTTGTTTTTCTTGTCCGTTTTATAAAAAACTTTGATCGATTTTTGTTTTGTAATAATAATTTTAATCTCTTTTTTTTCTTCTTTTATTATTTACCTTTATTGCAGGTCTACATCTTTATCATCATTCAATCGTACCATTATTAGGTTATTGTGCATTTTGTATTGCACCAACAGCACCTTGTTTGGGTATATTTCCATTTTTCAATACAATTATACATTGTATTATGTATAGTTATTATGCATTGGCTGCCCTAGGACCACGTTTACAACCATATCTTTGGTGGAAACGTTATATAACACAATTACAATTAGCACAATTTGTTATATATGGTTTATATTTGATACCATTCTTTAAATATCAACAAGGTTATCCGATAAAATTTTGGCGTTTTATTGCCGCACCGCAACCGATTATATTTTTCTATTTATTTTATCGTTTTTATAAACAATCATATACAACAACAACAACAACAACAACAACAACAACAACACGTACACATCAGCAACGACATTCATTGAATAATGATACAAAATGTAATAATAATCTGATTGCTCAAACAAATGAAAATGGTTCATTAGAAATTCGACAACGTATAAATCATCATAATAATAATGATTTGAATAATAATCTAAATGATGATGGTAAAAAAGAAAATTCAATCAAATGATTACTGAATCAATATTATCATCATAAACTTTAATTAACTTTTAAAATATATATTCAGGGCAACAAAATTTTTAATTATTTTAATATTTTTATAAAACACTAAATTATCAAATGCTTTAAACAAACAAAAACAAAACAAACAAATGAATAAATCTGTCTCAAATTATTATAATTGTGTAATTCATTAATTAATGTGGAAAAAAACTGGTAATTGAAATAAAGAAACTTATAATTTTATATTTTACTCCTTTTGTCATTCTCGAGCGTTTTTGGTTTTAAGCAAATTTCATTCCAATTTTATCTTATCCTTTTTGTTTTCACTAGATAATCATTTACAAAAAAAAGTTTTGACGTTTTGCGTTCAAGTTTTTTTCTTCAACATCTTCATTAGATAATCAATTATCAGCATAGAGATACTTTTTGACTGTATTATTTTTTCGTTTCGTTTCGTAGTAGATGATAATGACGATCTTCGAGCAATAAAAAAAAATGGAAACAAACTTTTCTTATCTTTATGAGACAAAGACGAAGAAAAAATAGAAAATTCTTCAGATGAATTTCTTCTTCATTTGTTGTTAGTGAAAAGTTTTTTTTTTGGTAGTCTCCATTTTCATTTCTTCATTATGATAACAAACAGAAAATTAGATTAGGAAAACGGTATAAGTGAAAAATTAATCCAAGATGAGTGAAAGTTGCAAAGATGGATATCGGATTTTTTTTTGATTGTTTCGTCTTCTTCGCATCGTTTTACCCCATTGACAACAAAAAAAGTTCGTAATCCATATCTTGAAATCTTCATTAATCAAATTGGTTTTTATTTTTGAAAAAACGAAAACTTTGAAACTTTGACGCCGAAAATAATGCATGATTGAAGACGGCTTATTTTCACGATACTATCGAAATATATATCGATTATTTCGTTCATCACTTGTTTTGATATTGTGGCTCGTTGCTGGAGTTTTTTATTTTTTTATTTTGATTTTTTAATCTGATTTTAAAATTCATTTTTTTTTTTTTTGTAAATCATGGATCAGAAAATTGTGGCATCGTCCAGTAAAACTGATGATTTATCAAATGCAAAAGATAAAAAGACGGAACGTTTACGTAAATTACGTGAACTTCATATGAAACGAGTAAGTTTTGTTTTGTTTTTTAAAAATATTTTTGTTTTATAAATTTTAATGTTTTTTTTGTTTCTTTTAATCGACTAGAACGAGGCATGTAAACTTAATCATAAAGAAGTGATTGAAGAAAATAAACGACAACAATTGCCAGCAAATTGGACAAGAAAACAAGAATGGGCAAAACGTAAACTTGAAGAAGATGAAGAACGTGTTCAAGCTGAACAACAAAATTTAGATTATGAATTGGAAAAATTAAGAGATATACAAGCCGATCATGCTGAACAATGGGAACGACGTCGATCAGTAAAAAAGAATCCAGATAAAGGATTTTCAAGTTTTGAAGATTCAGCAGCAAGAAAATATGAACGAATGATTAAACAGATAAAACCTGATATGGAAGAATATGAACAACTTAAACAAACCATACCTGAAGAACAATTTTATGCGGATAAAAATTCCTATGTATTTGGTGTACATAAAGATTCTAAAGAAGCAATCGATCGTTTATTGGATGATATGAATAAAGATTGTCAAAAACAAGCAAAATATTCTCGACGTCGTGCATTCGATGATGATAATGATATTGATTATATTAATGAAAGAAATATGCAATTTAATAAGAAAATTGAACGTTTCTATGGAAAATATACAGCCGAAATCAAACAAAATTTGGAACGTGGTACGGCCGTTTGAATTAAGCAATCATCAAGATCATCATAAGAAATCACTCGACTTTATCCATTTTTCTTTTTTTTAAAAAAAAACCTAATATTTTAATGTAAATATTAAATGCAATGATTACATGATACAATAAATTTTCTCTTCTTCGTAATATAAATACAAATTTTGTAATTAAAAATCTGTTTGTGTTGAAACATCCATAAAATTTCTTGGTTTCAATTTGGGCATATTACAATCACTAATTGTATTAATTTTTTTCAAATCTTCATTCACTTTATGCATATTTCGAATAACCCATCCAATATCATGATCGATAATAATTTCGGCTAATAAGAATTTTTCATCTGAATTTAAATCTTTAATCAGATGTAAAAATGTTTGTTCAAATTCTTTATTAATTTTATAACCTAAAATATCACGCCATATTGTTTCACAACCAGGTATATTGAATATAAATTTTGGTAATGATCGTAATAATCGCCGGCTACGAAGAACATTGTTGGTTGGTAAATCGGATTTCTTATTTTGATTTTTCGGATGATTTTCCTGATGATGATTATTTTCCAACAATCGAGAATGATTATTACGTTTCTTCAACGATGGTTTAACGTTTGTTTTCTTATCATTTTGTTCGTCGTTTTTAGCATTGATTTTGTTGGATGAATTTTTTTTCTTATTTTTTGCCATTTTATCGGGAGTTTTTGTTTCAACTTCAAAGAAAATTTGTTTGTTTGTTATTGAAGATCGAAAAATTGAATGATTGAAAATTCAACCGTCAAATTTTTTTTCTTTCAACACCAAACCATGATGACGAAATGTCAACGATGATCGTTGATAGATGGCAGCATAGTTTCCGTAATATTTTTCTCCCTTCAAGAATAATTTTTGTAAAGTTTTTTTCAATTTACACTGAGAGAAAAGTGTGGTTTGCACACGCCAATTTTTTTGAGGTTTGCACGCCAATCGCTAACACATTTACATGCTTTTTTTGATGGCGTGCATACCTCAATGTTGGCGTTATTACGGCATCCAAATTGGACTTTTTTCTCAGTGTAAAAAAATTCAATTATCACACCTTGTTTTTTTTCTGGTTTTTCATCACTCACTTCATCATCATCATCATTAACAGATTAATCAATCAATGTAGTTTCTGGGAAAACAAAAAAAAAATTTTGTCAACATCATCAAAATTGACAGAAAAAGTAAAAAAAAATTACTATAATTGAGGGAATCAACAAAAAACAAAAATCCGAAAATACAAAAACAAATTCAAGGATATAGAAACAAATAGAGAAACAAACAAATCATTTTTGTTTTTCCATCATAGTAATTATATATGAAAAAAAAAATATATTTCTCTCTCTCTCTATCCATTCCATATCTTCAATCTTTCATTGTCATCATCATTACATTCGTTTGTTATATATTTTTTTTTGTTGTTTTGGTTTGAAATTTATCAATCAAAAATCAAACACGTACAATTCTATATAGAGATGTTGTTGTTGTTGTTGAATTTGTTTTTTCCCCGAAAACAAAAACAACAAAAAAAAAACATTTTTTTCCAATAGAATTTTCATTGGTAGTAGTTTTGTTTTTTTTTTCAATGTCAATGTTGTTTTGTTTTTTTGATTTTTTTTCGGCTTTTTCCAGATTGGATAATGGTAACACAGAGATTGATTGATTGATTGAGGTTTTGCCTCACAAGGTAATCAAGAAATCATTAATTTAAAAAAAAGAAGTTAATTTTATCAAGAATCGATGGTTAATCATCGTTGTTGATGAAATCTTTGTTTTCTGGTTTTTGGGTTTCAGGTTTGTTTGGTTGTTGTTTGAATGACGTAATTTCTGGCGTCAACCATAAACTAAACCAAACTGATAATGAGATATATATTAATTTGTTGTTGTTGTTGCTTTTCACATAACAACAACAACAATGTAACAACAACAACAACAACAAGAATCAACAATTCTTAGGAATTGTTGATTCATCGAATCATTTCAATTAAATAAATTCTAATGAAGTTTCTTGATTCCATGAATGAATGTCAAAACCAAAAAACCAAAAAACCAAACCAGAATTGTCGGGAATTTTTTTTTTCGTTTTCTGAATTGTTTCNTGTTGTTGTTGTTGTTATTTCACATTCAATTTGCTTTCTTGTCATTGATGTTGATAATGATGATGATGATGTTGTTGTTTTTTTGGTTGCAAATAAGTTTTTTTTTTCTCAATGAAGTATGTTGCAATTTTTTTTGTTTGATTGCAATAATTGCAGACCGGCAATTTCTTTTCCCTTTTTCCTCTCCACTGCCACCACCACACACACCTATATACAAAAATGGATGCAATGTACAGTGAGAGAAATGAAAATGAATATTCTCTCTGAATTTAAGTTTCTGTTACAAAAACAAAACAATTACAAAAAAACAAAATTCTTATATGAAAATAAACAACAGATAAATAAATTAACAATATTTGATGGATTGATGGTTGAGTAGAAATAGTGAAAAGGAAATATATATTGATATCCAAAGGATGTTTTTTCTCCTTTTTTCATTATTATTTACACTGAATAAATATTTGTTGGATTTTTTTTTGTTTATTAAAAAAAAAAAATTATAATGGTGATTTTGTTAAATTTTGATGTCCATAGTTCAGATTTTTGTTGTTTGTTTCGTTTGGTTGGTTTGTTGATTGATTGATTAATGATAATTTTGTTTTGTTTTGTTTGTTTTTTTCGAAATTTCTGGTTAATTTTTTTCCTCTCTTTGAATTTCGGATTTCAAAATCCAACAATGAATATGATCCAAAAACCATAACAAAACAAACTGATGGAATCATCACACACACACACGTCATAAATTGGACTATTGACATCACAGAAAACAAAAACAAAAAAACATTTGACGCGGGTAAATGCCGCTCCATATTTTTTGTATCAAATCATTGATGATGATATGATGGTTCCAGCAATACCTTTCATATAAATAAAAATATGAAAGGGGGGCGTATCTCTAACAGTTTCGTCTATTTTTTTATACACCACTTCCTTTTTCCGCAATCCATATCATTATTGTTTACTTCTACCTTTTTTTTTTTTGTTTTTGTTTTCTTTCTCTCTCGTCATCACTATCATCGATGCCGATAGCTTCCGTAAGGATACCACACAATTGTGGTGGTGGTGGTAGTAAATCCACAATAATAACTGTCTGGGATATTCGAATGAAAAAAAGATACCGAAAGAACACTCTTAGCAGCTCTTTCTTTCTTTCTTCTTCTTCTTCGATGTTGTTTACCACACATATATCATCGACAATATTTTTGTTTTGTTTTTTCATCATCAAAATAGCCAAAAAATATTTCATTGATTCAATGTGTTTTGCTGCTGCTGCTGTGTTTTTTGTGTATGCCGAAAAGTCGCCGTCGTCTTCGTTTTTCTCTTCCTCACTTCTTTTCCATCATCAACATCACCATCATCATCAACAACATCATCGACATAATCATCAACATCAACAACATCATCATCTCTCCCCTGTATGTTTGTTGTGTGTGTGTGTGTTTTTTGTATGCGCCGTTCCAATTCGAATCATCATCATCATTTCGTTTTTGTATCTTGATTCTAATAAAAAAATGAACAAAAATAAAATAAAAACTCAAAATAATCTTTTTTCCTTTCCTTTCCTT